TGCAGAGGATTTAGTTGACAAAACCTAATTTGTAAGTTGGTAAAATGTAGAGCTTAAACCCACACAACACAACTATAAATACGACTGTCTATGATGGGATTTACATGGCTGAGTATCCCTAATTAATTAACTTTACTCAGAAACATACCACAGTTTTTAGTACCTCGTTCTACTACTTTCTGTTCAATTAAGTACTTTTATCTAAGGCTTACAATATTAAAAGGATACTAAGGGTCATTGTGTGTTCAGCACTTTATGCTCATTTAGTAATGTTATGTTAGTATACATTATTAGTTTGTTCCTAATTATCCTTTTCAATATGACAGACACCCGGCGCCTTTGGGTATTTCACATTCATGATAATCATGTTCTTTTATTTCCGTTCTAAAGGAAATATTAAAATTAAATCAAACGGATCATTCAGCACCTACGTCTCATTTGTTAAACAATCGTCTAATAAAAAGTTTGAACTTATTAACATCTGCGATTACGCCCAAAACACAAAATCTGCATTCTCTAACCCTGTCGGTATTCCAGCCGTCACTAAGCGATCAAACGTCACAATGGACATCTCCTTGTCAGCACTAAAACAATTAAAGGAGATATTTTTGACTCGCGGTAAATAAACAAAGGAATATGTGGTTTAATCACTGGTTCAATTCAGCATGTGACAATGTTGACATCAATAGCTGGTTAGAACAAGTATATTCCACATTTAACAGCGTTGTAAAACCCTCTGTGTTGGATGGCACTATTCTGCTTCTAATGTTGGAACGTTATGCTGAAGTAACATAAATAATTGTTTCATTTTTGTTTGGTAACTCTGGTAAAAATAGCATGACAGTGTCTAATGTATTTGGGAATCCTGAACATAGATAAATTTGTTAAGGTAACTGTTAATGTTAAAATTTGATATAACATTGGAAATCTTATCGTTCTGGTCATCTCTCCGGGTTATTTCACATGCTAATACGCAGACAGTAATATATTGATTTTAAATGATAGGTTAAGGAGGATGTTTTGATAACAGTTATCACAGTGTAGGGCAAAATAAATATAGAGATTAAAAAATAATTTCATTTCATTTTTATAGTTATAATAATCTTCTCTTAGCAAGATAATGTTTAATAATAACATGTAACGGGAGGACCGTTATAAAACAATTCAAATTAAATGCACTTCATGGCTGGAACGTTTATCATAAACTGGTGTATACGATTTTCTCATTATACTAGATATCAGCCATGTAATAAAATAATTTTTTTCAGTTTCAACGGATAAGGTTAATAGCGAATTTAATGTATGTGATATCCACTGCTTTTGAATTTCTTCTGCATGACGGACTGAAATGGTGGTAAAATATGGTTAAGTTTATGTTGAATCTCATTGTTGAGCATATGTTATATAGTACCAACATTACAGATAAATAATTACATGTGTATACCTCTAATGTAAATCTTGCAATAAAATATATCAAATCGACAAAACTTCGATATGGTTTTTACGTCATACAGAAAGACTAGGTGCAAACCACAATATAGAAACTGAAACCTTGTTCCTGATATAATGGATACTCCTTCATTTGGTTAAACAGCTGTTTATTGTATGTATCATGAACCAAAACAACCACCTAAAACATTTTTTCTGTGTATTTTGAACGTAAATTCAATAAGACTGAAACGCATCATTTAAATATGTATGTTTGTGGTGCATTAATGATTATTGAACATGAACGGAACTGTGTTGCATGCAATAATTGAGATGCATGTGTAGCCTTCGTTTATAATGTCATATTTACACACTTACTGAAGATATGGAAAATGTTTGTTTAAGTTATGCATTTTATTCGTGTGCATAAATTGCACATGTACAATTGTTTACAATTGTGATGATTGTCGCATTATTTGAGATCTGTTTAAAATATATAATGTATTGTAGATATGATAAACGTTTGTTTACATAGATAATTATGTTAGACATACATAGCAATTGTTTACGCCTACAATGTATTGAAGATAACTGCTTTCAAAAACATATATATAGATATAACACTTACTTACATATATAATTTTATGTAAATATGAATAATAATTGTATGCATAGACAATTTATCGGAGAAATTTATGCCACATGTTCCAAACTATATCATTATTGTAAATGAAGATAACGTGTTTTTAGTTAGAAGGGAGTGTGAGCAAAATGTTTGTTATATTACACATGTATGATTCATGTTAACATTTTATAATATAATGCACATGAAATGGCAATCGTTATCCGGTATAATGCCGATTATAACTTGATTGGAATAATGCAAAATAATTTCACTGCAAATAGCTAAATGAGGACGGGATTCGTGACAAACTAATTACATTTTCAATTATCGGGTGTTGAATTTTAGGTCGGCTGGAGAGCACATTCCTATACAGATTTGACTAAAATGCTTTAGTATCATTTGATCTGTCAAAATGGATTGACACGGTATTGAATACTAGTAATTGGCAAATCAAAAAGTCATGATTTGATACTGTTTTAAGATAGTGTATTTACCTGTAATAGAAGACTATCTTAATGTGAATAAAATATTAAATGCATTTCTATTTTATCATGAACGAACATAATTTACCAGGATTTTTTTGCATTTTTCATTTGTAAAAAGATTAATATTGACCAATTATATACAACATGTAGAAATGGAATGACGTATAACGGCTGATCAGAATGTTAGATGTGTCGTTTGTCTGATTATTGATTCATTATTTTTCTATTTAAGGAAACAAATAAAAGCAATAAACATTAAAATGTGTACATGTTATTTTTTACATTATTTCATCTGTCAATATCAATATCAAGTATTTATACTTATTCATTCACTTATTAAAAACAAAATTATGTCCATTGTTATATTTTAGTTTGTGATAGAATGGTGACGATGTGACTATCTAAGTATCTTTCCACCAAAAAATAAAAATAAAAATATTCTAAAATTATTGATAAAATGGCCATAACATTTTGTGCATACAAATATTAATTACTAATTAGTATTTTACCCATAATGTTCTGTGTTATCCAGTGAATATACCCATGTCATATGTTTTTGCGTATTAACCCATGTAATATGATATATCAGCCCTGTGCTTGATTGTAAGTTTCAATTGTGACGTCACGCTAGGACTAGTACATGAGGTCACAGATTTACGCACTGAAGTCAAAATGGCGGCTTTTTACATTTCAAGGTAGCATAAACATTGTTGTTTTACACGAATTAATGCCACAAATCTTGATTGTGTGATAAAAAGAATATTACACTCGTTTTCATTCCAGAGGCTTTCTAAATTGACAAATTCTTAGACTCTTTTCATAAATCTTATATGAAATGGAAACTCATGTAAGATCCTATATATATCTGTACATGTGTAAATCGTTTATAAGAAAACAAAACGTGTTATCCGGATGTTTAAATTGCTAATGATTTGATTGCATTAGCATCAGAGACAAATTATATAGTTTCCTCGTGCATTCGTGAGTAGGCATTACAGTATAATATAAAGTCATATTACATGCAATCTGGTCAATTATTCCGTTCTTCAAGGAAAATGTGATGCTTCTAAATTTTATCGTTTCTATTAACAGGATTCGACAACGAATGAATGAATTCAAGGAAAAGAAAACAGAATAAAGTTTCTTCATAACACATGTTTGATATCAGATATGGTGTTAACTGTCTTTTGCATATTTTATCGGGCGAAGGACTTCACAGGGATTATACAAAACATAGAGTTTTAATTTTAAATATTCCTCAATATTCTCTTATCGATATTAATGACGCTAACTAATCCAATCAGAGGTTAAATGCTGTTGTCTATTTATACAACACTAATCCGAAATCACTTATCATGATAAATAAGTTAATGAATTGACTTAATGACAAATGCAAATAAATTGCATAGGCATGAGCGTGCAACTCTATTCATTCCAGAGGATCAATATGAATTAAAATTGTGAATGCCATCAAGACTTGGTATCATTAAATGTATTTTAAACTACTACCGGAATGACAAAATAATCGCTTTACAGTGTATCTGTCTTCCGGCATGAACAGATAGAGACAGGTGATACCGTATTAATATAAACACCAGTCAAGTAAAAATACCCACTTTTGTTATCTGAAATTAAAAAGTGTAATACGTTATGAAAGCTGCTGACGTCAAAAGTTACGACCTTAATCAACATATTAACGCATACATGTGTTTCCTAAATACAGTCGACTAAACAGTCATTACAACTTAGGTATGCGGTTTGACCCACGGTGGTAAGGATATGAAAAAAGTCCACTGTTTATTGACAATGGAAAGGTATATCAACATTTGTATCCACTTTGATGTTGAAATATAACATACTATATAATATGTAAATATAATGTACCTATATGTGTACACACAATGTAAATTGGTATACCATCGTGAAAGGTGAAACATTATTTTCTCTAGTACAGTTATAACGTGTGGTTTATCACACGATGTTACAGCATTCGATTATGACGCGTCGTAGTTATTTTAATCCAAAGGAACTAATATTACAGGTTAAACCATGTCCACTTTAAGCAATATCGCACAGTGAAAGCATTGCTTGCCGGCGTTAAGGCGGGTCGAGTCTGAAATAGCTCTAACTTCCACTGTTATATGTTTTCATCTGGTAATCCTTATCGAATTAAGTCGGATCGTTCTGCGGGTTCATCGAGTGCGTTCTATGGTCAATGAATGTACTCTATTGACTTCGGGTAGTTAGGAATTATATGCCCCGAATGCGTTGCCATGGGCGTACAATGGCAGGACAATAGAACGAATTTATCAATCGTTCAAAGTAAGACGGACACAAGTGGCAACATATGCTATATGTATACAATAGGAGACCTAAAATTATATCCGTTCAGAAATTGAACAAAACGAACATCTTCTCCATCACATCGAACAAATCCGTATAATAAGGCTATGTTAACAGTGATGGCCACTGGTGGTAAGGGTCCTATGCGATCACACGATGTGCTACGTACCACAAGCTGTGAGCCTTTAACACAGCCCTCCCTCCCACATTATTCACAACGAGACACAGAACAGTAACCTTTATCACAGCCCTCCCTTCAACAGTATTATCAGTGTAACACAGAACAGCAACCTTTATCACAGCCCTCCCTCCTACAGAATTAACAGTGTGACACAGAACAGCAACTTTTATCACAGCCCTCCCTCCCACAGTATTACCAGTGAGACACAGAACGGCATCCTTTATCACAGCCCTCCCTCCCACAGGATTAACAGTGTGACACAGAACAGCAACTTTTATCACAGGCCTCCCTCCCACAGTATTAACAGTGTGACACATAACAGCAACCTTTATCACAGGCCTCCCTCCCACAGTATTAACAGTGTGACACATAACAGCAACCTTTATCACAGCCCTCCCTTCAACAGAATTACCTGTGTGACACAGAACAGCAACCTTTATCACAGGCCCCCCTCCCACAGTATTAACGGTGTGACACAGAACATCAACCTTTATCACAGCCCTCCCTCCAACAGTATCAACAATGTGACACAGAACAGCAACCTTTATCACAGGCCTCCCTCCCACAGTATTAACAGTGTGACAGAGAACAGCAACATTTATCACAGCCCTCCCTCCCACAGAATTAACGGTTGGCCACAGAACAACAACCTTTATCACAGCCCTCCCTCCGTCAGAATTAAAGGTGGGCCACAGAACCGTGTGACACAGCACAGTAACCTTTATCACAGCCCTCCCTTCAACAGTATTATCAGTGTAACACAGAACAGCAACCTTTATCACAGCCCTCCCTCCTACAGAATTAACAGTGTGACAGAGAACAGCAACATTTATCACAGCCCTCCCTCCCACAGAATTAACAATGTGACAGAGAACAGCAACCGTTATCACAGCCCTCCCTCCCACAGTATTAACAGTGTGACAGAGAACAGCAACATTTATCAAAGCCCTCCCTTCAACAGAATTAACAGTGTGACACATAACAGCAACTTTTATCACAGCCCTCCCTCCCACAGTATAAACAGTGTGACACAGAACGACAACCTTTATCACAGCCCTCCCTCCAACAGAATTAACAATGTGACAGAGAACAGCAACCGTTATCACAGCCCTCCCTCCCACAGTATTTACAGAGTGACACAGTACAGCAACCTTTATCACAGCCCTCCCTCCTACAGAATTAACAGTGTGACAGAGAACAGTAACCTTTATCAAAGCCCTCCCTCCAACAGAATTAACAATGTGACAGAGAACAGCAACCGTTATCACAGCCCTCCCTCCCACAGTATTTACAGAGTGACACAGTACAGCAACCTTTATCACAGCACTTCCTCCCACAGAATTAACAGTGTGACAGAGAACAGTAACCTTTATCACAGCCCTCCTTCCCACAGAATTAACGGTGTGCCACAGAACAGTGTGACACAGAACAGCAACCTTGATCACAGTCCTCCCTCCAACAGAATTAACAGTGCGACACAGAACAGCAACCGTTATCATAGCCCTCCCTCACACAGTGTGTCACACAGAACAGTAACCTTTAACACAGCCCTCCCTCCCACAGTATTTACAGTGTTACTCAGTACAGCAACCTTTATCACAGCCCTTCCTCCCACAGAATTAACAGTGTGACAGAGAACAGTAACCTTTATCACAGCCCTCCTTCCCACAGAGTTAACAGTGTGACAGAAAACAGCAACCTTTATCACAACCCTCCCTCCCACAGAATTAACGGTGTGACACAGAACAGTGTGAAACAGAACAGTAGCCCTTATCACAGCCCCACAGAATTAACGGTGTGACACAGAACAGTGTGAAACAGAACAGTAGCCCTTATCACAGCCCCACAGAATTAACGGTGTGACACAGAACAGTGTGAAACAGAACAGTAGCCCTTATCACAGCCCCACAGAATTAACGGTGTGACACAGAACAGTGTGAAACAGAACAGTAGCCCTTATCACAGCCCCACAGAATTAACGGTGTGACACAGAACAGTGTGAAACAGAACAGTAGCCCTTATCACAGCCCCACAGAATTAACGGTGTGACACAGAACAATGTTACACAGAACAGTAACCTTTATCACAGCCCTCCCTCCCACAGTATTTACAGTGTGACACAGTACAGCAACCTTTATCACAGCCCTTCCTCCCACAGAATTAACAGTGTGACACAGAACAGTGTGACACAGAACAGTAACCTTTATCACAGCCCTCCCTCCCACAGAATTAACAGTGTGAAACAGAACAGCAACCTTTATCACAGGCCTCCCTCCCAAAGTATAAACAGAGTGACACAGAACAGCAACCTTTATCACAGCACTCTCTTCAACAGAATTACCAGTTTGACACAGAACAGCAACCTTTATCACAGTCCTCCCTCCAACAGAATTAACAGTGTGAAAAAGAACAGCAACCTTTATCACAGGCCTCCCTCCCACAGTATTAACGGTGTGACACAGAACATCAACCTTTATCACAGCCCTCCCTCCAACAGAATTAACAGTGTGACACAGAACAACAACCTTTATCACAGCCCTCCCTCCCACAGAATTAAAGATGTGACACAGAACAGTAACCTTTATCACTGCCCTCCCTCCCACAGAATTAACGGTGTGACACAGAACATTAACCTTTATCACAGCCCTCCCTCCCACAGAATTAACGGTGTGACACAGAACATTAACCTTTATCACAGCCCTCCCTCCCACAGTATTACCAGTGTGACACAGAACAGCAACCCTTATTACAGCCCTCCCACCCACAGAATTAACGGTGGGCCACAGAACAACAACCTTTATCACAGCCCTCCCTCCCACAGTATTACCAGTGTGACACAGAACAGCAACCCTTATCACAGCCCTCCCTCCCACAGTATTTACAGTGTTACTCAGTACAGCAACCTTTATCACAGCCCTCCCTCCCACAGAATTAACGGTGGGCCACAGAACAACAACCTTTATCACAGCCCTCCCTCCCACAGAATTAACGGTGTGACACAGAACAGCAACCTTTATCACAGCACTCTCTTCAACAGAATTACCAGTTTGACACAGAACAGCAACCTTTATCACAGTCCTCCCTCCAACAGAATTAACAGTGTGAAAAAGAACAGCAACCTTTATCACAGGCCTCCCTCCCAAAGTATAAACAGAGTGACACAGAACAGCAACCTTTATCACAGCACTCTCTTCAACAGAATTACCAGTTTGACACAGAACAGCAACCTTTATCACAGCCCTTCCTCCCACAGTATTAACAGTGTGACACAGAACAGCAACCCTTATCACAGCCCTCCCTCCCACAGTATTACCAGTGTGACACAGAACAGCAACCCTTATCACAGCCCTCCCTCCCACAGTATTACCAGTGTGACACAGAACGGCAACCTTTATCACAGCCCTCCCTCCCACAGTATTACCAGTGTAAGACAGAACAGCAACCTTTATCACAGCCCTCCCTCCCACAGTATTACCAGTGTGACACAGAACAGCAACCCTTATCACAGCCCTCCCTCCCACAGTATTACCAGTGTGACACAGAACGGCAACCTTTATCACAGCCCTCCCTCCCACAGAATTAACAGTGTGAAACAGAACAGCAACCTTTATCACAGGCCTCCCTCCCACAGTATAAACAGAGTGACACAAAACAGCAACCTTTATCACAGTCCTCCCTCCAACAGAATTAACAGTGTGACACAGAACAACAACCTTTATCACAGCCCTCCCTCCCACAGAATTAACAGTGTGACACAGAACAGCAACCCTTATCACAGCCCTCCCTCCCACAGTATTACCAGTGTGACACAGAACAGCAACCCTTATCACAGCCCTCCCTCCCACAGTATTAACAGTGTGACACAAAACAGCAACCTTTATCACAGTCCTCCCTCCAACAGAATTAACAGTGTGACACAGAACAACAACCTTTATCACAGCCCTCCCTCCCACATAATTAACGGTGTGACACAGAACATTAACCTTTACCACAGCCCTCCCTCCCACTGAATTAATGGTGTGACACAGAACAGTTTGACACAGAACCGTAACCTTTATCACAGCCCTCCCTCCCACTGAATTAATGGTGTGACACAGAACAGTGTGACACAGAACC